ACAGCATTAGCCATAATTATTTTTTGGTAATTTTTTGCACTGAAAAGGCTGGCCATTTTTTCAAGTTTCAATCATCCTTGCCATCCATATTAACAGACGACAGGAAACGGTTTTAATGCCTAAATATAGTCTTTTTCTTGGAATTCAATTGATTCGAAAACATGCTTTAGCTTTTTAAAAAGGTAGAAAATAGCGTGACATAGCCCCTTTAAATAACTTGGTACATACCGTAAGAAATACGTCCATGGAATTCCATCGATTTCCGTGGAAAAAATTTCCATGGCATTCCATGGGGGATAAAGACATAAATTTCAATGGAATTCAATGGAAAAGTTCCACGAAATTCCATGGAAACTACTGCATCCAATTCCATTGATCTCCATGGAGTTCCATGAAATTCACAGGAATTAGACCATGGAATTAGAATATCGCATTGAGTTACAGATGTAAATGGAATATATGTATTTACAATTTTCCACAGATTTAGGTGTCACTGCAAATTACTGGATAAGTTCACTTTTATTACATAGAAAACCGCTCAATCTCTTTTGAAAAGTTATAAATACAAATTACTTAAGCTCAATGAAATCAAAACTCATTCAGAACAACAAGTTGCTCAAACGTACATCGATAAATTTTTAGTGACTGACAGTTAGTCAGATTACGGACCTGACTCTTAACTGTTACAAGGTGACTGTACTGAGTCTCTAGACAGCCAAGTCCAAGGAGCAACTACTCAGCCTCCCCACCCATGAAGCTTATGACTAGTCAATCACTTCCCCCAAGCTCTGCTAGTAGTGTTTCGGGCGAAGCCTTCCGGACTATGAAAAGTGTATCAGGAAATCATGAACAGGAGTTGAGTGGACCTTTGGACATGGACGGTGATTGAAGACTGACGCAAAAATAGACAAGAATCGCCGAAAGGCGATTTTTAACTGGGCTGCACAGGGGCTATTTTTTCCGAGGGGAGGGGGCAGCTATACACACTCAGGCTACTACAAAACCTTGTCGCCGACCATTGCATGCGACAGAATTTCATGTGAGACTGAAACATAAACTCATTCAGAACATTATACCCTTTTGAAAGACTTTCGGAACCAAAAAGAGAGAGTACCATTTTTAAGTGGGGGCTGTATAATAACTTTTAAATTCCGCCATTATGAATAAAAATAAACAAGTTAGCCATTAATTCTAAGCAGGAAACGATTTTCATTATTTTCACGCACCCCTCCCCCAATCCCTCTGTGCCCCAAAATATAGCGTGACAGTATAACGTGACTAATTTGACGTAACCGGAAATTCCAAAAATTGTTGTCGTTCTACGAGCATAAAGTGCGACGGACGGAGCTGATTTACACTAGACAGAAATATTGTATTGTATGAAAACCAGAAGTATACTAAAACAGACAGCCAACTGCCCACTGATCCCGCCTGATCCAGGGGCCTCTTGCTCCAGTAATTTTTTATATCAGCATCAAGTTATCCTTGCCCGGCAAAAACGATGTAACCTATAAATAAATCCATCGAGCGCGTTGTTGTTGGTTAAGATCTAGCACGGTTGTGTTTTAGTTTCCCACGTATTTCAACACCGAAAGACAAATACGATATGCAGGAAAAACAAAGATGCATGACATGATTTTTTTCAATTTTTTAAGCATTTCTGATTTCCTCTGTCGGTTCGCTTCTTGCTTCTAAAAAGTCTAAAAATATTTACTGTAGGGAAAAATACTGTAATTATCCGCTGACCACCACGCTGGGTGACCGCTTTGTAAGTTGTGACAACATCGTTTCTCGGTCCCCCCCGGATGCGAACTCTAAACTTCACAATTGTGTTTTTCTCTGCCGTCAATCATAATTACGATCACAAGCGACGAACCTTGAAACAGAGAAACACAAAACGGATCGAAATCCACAAATCACAAACCATGACCTTTTGAACCCGTGAAGTAAAGTTTTGTTTCCTAAGAGGTCCGTTAAGATAAGATGATTGACAGCAGCGAAAAACGCAATCGTCGGTTGGCTTCTGAACTTCAGAATTCGCATGTTTGTGAAAAGTGCAGTAAATAGACGATCCTAATTTGCGGTCTGCAGTCTACATGAAAACGCACTATTTTTTCCACAAGATAAAAAATATTCAGTTCTAAGATTTTCCTCTTGGTATTTTTCTATAACTTAAAGGAATAAAATCCTTTGCATTTTGTGACCTAAAAAAGTTTAAAGATTTCTCGCCCGCATGTTGCTTTCATCAGCACGGACTTCAAACAATGTATTTTACCTGATACCGATATGAGTTAAAAATTCGCTCGAGTTCATTGTTTGTCTCACCCATGACTAACTTTTCTTCATGGACGATAATTATGCCGCTTTATAACTCCTCCGATGTTTTTGTGCCAGCTAAACAATATGGAATCACTATTCACAGTCCTTGGATATTAAAAAGACTGAACGTGACGCACTATTGTGACTTTGTTTACTTCTGATCACATCTTCAAGCAAAGTCTCTCTTTTCAAGCGATTCATCTCAATGCACAATAATTGACCCATATATTAGTTAAAACCCTATGGTTCATTTACTGAGTATATTAATGCTGTTTTTGCCCCTCATATTGACTGTGTTCGTTCGTATTCAAAACACCTTTAGGAAAATAAAGGTCATATAAGTCCTGTGTATTATGTTTCGAGATAAGTGGATTATACGCTTTTTTAAGTTTCCATTTTGCGGTGACTTCAGTTTACATCTCCATAAAATGGTAGAAGAAATATCAAGAAACATCACGAGAGCTGAAAATTTTCAAAGGCATGTTTCTGGAACTCGCTAATGCTGACATCAATACAGCGTGCTTGCTGAAAGGGCGAAAACACAGAATTGTGATCACAAGATCATGTACAAATTTAATGATAAAAGCTTAGCAAGATACAGATACAAACAAAAGCAAACCCCCTGAAACCTGGACGTGGGCTACACTTGTATGCTCTACTCAGTCACCAAACCACGTCAGTAATATAGCTCCTATTTTCCTCAAGTCAAGCCTTGAACTTGTGTGCGAAATTCTCAGAGTTCCTATTTTTGTCCGTGTCTTCTTTATCCTCAATATCCGAAATTTAGACCTCCAAATTAAATAGAAGGAAATATTTAAAGGAAAAGCCAGTCTTCTAACATGGCAAAGTTGTCACGTCCCTCGCTCATGGACGTGCGTAACATCAGGATTCATCTGACATTCATCGGCAACTGAGTTGTTCGCTTCACTGACTACGACAGCTTACAATCAAGTCTTTAGCCATAGTGACGTCAACTGGTGAAATACTTTGCTCATAAATTGTGCTTCCTAATTGCTCATGTACTACATCGATCGATAATTCTCTCTTTGAGTTCAAGAAGCGGCCCCGTCGTTCCAAACCTGACACTCACAGTCATCTTTTGGTGTGAACCTACCGTGAACGGCGTGTCGGTTTGTATGCAACGTGAGAATTTCTCCGTGTTTCCCAGCGCCAACATCATCTAACTGACGTAAACTCGAACAATAAAAAAATTATAGAGTGACTCCTGTGATCGAATCGCTTCGAACAACGCAAATAGTCTTCTTCAGGTTCGCAACGCCTTGTGGAGTTTTCAGGGGGAGCGGAGACGAGGTACAAAAAGTATCCGTGCAAGGCTCCGTGCAAGGAAAAATCATATGAGACCATTTGTGAGAACATCGTTTCTCGGTACCAGACCCATGTGTCTTCCCTCCCCCGGGAGGCCGTTTTTTTGCCACAGACGACCGAAAACCGAATTTATGACTGGGCTTGCCGGGCAGCCCAGTAATAATACAATAAAGAGTCCAAAGAAACGCTAAGACTTATACGGGATAACTCAAAATGAATTGAATGAAGAGCAAATGAAGACTAAATAAAGTAACGCCAATTGGCACCTGCAATTGGTCACCTGTTCACCACACCCCATCACTGCGCCATAAAAAAAAAGACAACACAAAACAAGCTAAATTTAACTAAAAGTAGTAATTGAAGAAGAAATAGGACTGTAATAGGTCGCTGATAAGCCGGTTTTTTTTTGTTGTTGTTTTTTAGCCATTTGGTAATTTATCATCTTGTGGACAAGGCAGCTACTAGTGCCAGTCCCTCCTGAGTGCTGAATTTTCAAGATGGCGTCGCTTTGTTATTTTCTAGTTTCATCCTACAGTTAAGTAATTAAACAACGCTTTCTCGTTAAAATGTCTGCTTAGTTTTGTGCATCGACAAAATATGTGCCCGTGACGTTTTTTTTCTGAGAGCTCCCTTAATATGGACACCCGGATTTTAAGGACACTATGGCATGTCCCTTTGGTGTTATTATTGACCGGGTTCCACTGATCGTTACGTATGTACATGTTTTTAAAATGCTGAAAGGGCAAAAAGCACTGAAGGCAGTATTTCGAGCTTTTTGATATTTCCTCCAGCTGTTGAACATACTTTACAGCGAAATATGAAAGAAAATTCACGAAGAGGACTTAAAACAAACACGAAGGGACCGGCCTGTTTGCAAGAAAAAGCTTGGAAACTATAACAAATGTGAGTTTTCTAATTTCTTCCTGTTTCAATGGCCCAAAATGATTATTAGTGTTTTGGTTACATGGATGACAGTAGACTGCAATTTGGCTGTCAGAGTTGTTCTGTCATTTTAGTTGCGCGCTGTAAATCAATTCAAAAATGCCCGATTTTTTGCTCGTTTGCAGACACTGAGTTTAGGTCAGATAAAATAACAAACATTATGATGAGAAGATGGAATTATGTCATTTTACTTCGAGGCATTTTCCGTTTCTTATCAGCAGTGTGCAGGCGGTGGTTCCCTGGCCAATCAGGAGATCGAACGTGTTTAGTGCTGTATAAAAGACTTGTTATATGTTTCGCGCGGCCCTTCAACTATTACCATCAGCCTGTACTAGTGACATCCCTTTGACGCTTAGTTGAAAAATTTCAGGCAAGTTTCTTTTTAATTTTAATCCTTCTTTCTTAAGAGAGTTATGGCTACACACACGGTTACCCCAACACCTCGTGTTTTAATCTTGGGGCACTCTTTTATTCGACGCCTGCAGAAGTTCATTGAACATCATATCGGTTACCTTGATTTATCACTACAAATTACGGCTGCCGCCGATATAACTTGGCATGGCGTTGGTGGGCGTACAGTAGCAAAAACAATCAAATTTGATCTGCACGTAGTTCGATCTACACGCCCCGACATAGTTATCGTGCAACTTGGTACTAATGACCTACCATTTCAGTCTCCTCTACAAGTTGGGTCAGAACTTGAGGACTTCGTTCGTTTGTTGCACGATTCTTACGGGGTAAAATTCGTGTGAGTATACCAAACCATTCGTCGGCGCTCTGCTACTGCCTTTAGCAAAAACGTAGATCTTAACACGTTCCCTACGGGTTGTCTTGGAAACCATCCCTTACGCGATCTATTGGGGTCATAGGGGTTTCTGGAAGGCTCGTCATAATTTTATGCTGCTGATGGCGTTCATTTGAATAGTATGGGGCAATATAAGCTCTATCGTAGTTTTAGAGGGGCAGTACTTAAGTCTACGCGGCTCTTGTCTAGTGTTGACATTCAGCAGCGTAGCGTTGATGTTATTCTTTACGTTTTTTGATCCTCGGGCCAGTTCCTTTGGTATTGACTTAAACAATTGTGTTTATGATTGTGTCAGCCTTTGATTATTTGCTTTGTCGTCGCCTCTTGGTTTTGAGCTCGACACTGACTGTACACCATGAGTCGCAGTTTAGCGGCCAGCATTTATTGTGTCAGTCTTTGATTCATGCATTTTAGTCGTTGCCTATTTATTTGAGCATGACACTGGCTGTACACTCTGATTCTATCGGCTCCTTTTGGAACTCTTTGTTAGCTACCCGGAAAGTTTGGGTTTATAATTTGCAGTCAGATACCATTTTTGAGTGTACAACATATCTCCGGCCGCCTGATCTTTGTCGGGTGTGCCCAATGCACTCGGTATTCTGTACCTGCCGTTGATTTTGTTTTATTTTAATTTGATTGTCTATTGTTGTTATTATTGATTTTTGTTGTGCTCGTTTGACTGGAACTTGGCCCGCGATGTTTTTCTTTATTTTAACTTCGGCTTCTCCTCCCCTGTTTGTCATTCCAACATTGTTCTCGCGTACTCGTGGGTTTTGCCCCTCTAAAGAATGTTAGACAGGAAATTTTTATCTTACATGGAGTTAATTAACCGTAACGGTCTTTGTTGATAAGTCATGCCTCCCAAGAAGCGCCAACAACCTAATTTGCCTAAGCGAAAACAGTCCAAGCGAATGCGACCTTCCGACCTCACAGAGACGGCTCCCTAGACAGAGCATACAAGTTTAGCAGCTGCAAATTCCAACACAGCTAATTTGATGGCGGTGGATGTGAACGCCTTAACTTTGTCTATTTCCCTCGCTGTAACCGAGGCAGTCCAACGGGCCTTTCAGAAGATTCCCCAAACGCAAGTTGACAAGTGCCAGGACAAGCCTACTGGCGTAGAGGCAGCGGTTGATGAAGAGGTTTCTCTTCTGACCGAAAGTACACCTCCAAGTACGTCATCCAATCCGCTCCCGTTGCCAGGCAACAAAAAACCATTTGCTAGTATAGCCGTAGCTGTAGGTACTAACGTAACTCCCAAACTTAAAAGGAAAATCTGGGCAAATGAGTATATAGATTTCGGGGCACTGCTTTCCGTCTCCCCAGCTACTGAAAAGTATTCTTTATCTTTCAAGTCCACTGATGGCTCCCCGCGACAACCCCAGTTGACCCTGGAACCTTTTCAACCCTCTTAGAAAATTCATCGCTTTAATCAATGGCTATCAGCTTTCAATACTTTTGTAGCCATATTTACAGAGAAATTTCCCCATGAAGCCCCGCGAGATCATTCGCGACATTTCAGCCAAACCAGGTGACTGGTATTTTTATGACGAACAATTTCGTTATCTTAGGCAGTCAGCCCCTGACCAGTACCCATGGGATTCTGTGCACTGGGAGCTATGGCTTAAGGCGGTAATAAATTTTCGTACAAAATCGCAATTTAGCTCGGAAAAGGTCAATTCTGGGGTTCCTACGCGATTACGGACATTTCATGCAGGGAGATATTGCGCGGGTTATCGATTCGACCATGTTTGTTTCATATGTGGCGTAAAGCACCCCGCAAGCCAGTGCTCCGCCACCCAACAACATCGCCTCCCTTTCTCCAAAGAAGGACCAGTCGCTACGAATTCTACACAACAGTCCGGCCACTCCCGTAAGGGTGGACAGGCTTGATTTTCTTTTAACCGGATACCCTGATAACTTAAAACACTTTCTAATTTCGGGTTTTTCTTTCGGTTTTCGTATCAGTTATATGGGCGAACGGCAGACCTTTGAATCTCGCAATCTAAAAAGTGCACTCGAAAAACCACACGTTGTTTTGTCAAAATTAAACAAGGAACGTGAGGCCGGTCGCATCGCAGGCCCCTTCACTGTCCCACCTTTTCCAATCTTTCATTGTTCACCTCTAGGCATAGTTCCCAAGAAGGATCCTTCTGAATTTCGGCTAATACATCACTTATCATACCCCCATGGTTCCTTTGTCAATGACTTAATTCCCGATGATTGTTCTTCGGTCAGTTATGCTTCCATAAACGACGCAATTGATGTCCTCAAACGGACAGGGGCTGGTTGTTTTATGGCCAAAACGGATGTCAAATCGGCGTTTCGCATAATACCCATCCATCCTAATGACTATCCATTGTTGGGTATGAAGTGGGAAAACTTGTATTATTTTGATCGCTGTCTTCCTATGGGCTGCTCTTCTTCATGTGCAATTTTTGAGGCTTTTAGTACGGCACTTTAGTGACTGGCTTTGCATCGACTTGGCGCTTCAGGGGTTCTACATATTTTAGACGAAATTCTTTTTATTGCCGAAAGTGAAGAGAAATGCCAGGCCGATTTAAATAGTTTTCTTAATTTGTGCGAGTATCTCGGGGTTCCTATAACAGAGGAAAAAACCGTCGGCCCTCATACCGTTTTACAATTCGCGGGCATTACCCTTGATACGGTGAAGCAGGTAGCCAGATTGCCCGACGAAAAGTTTTCAAAAAAGCTACAGGTTATTACATGGTTTTTATAAGCGTCGCAAAGTGACGGGGCTATCTTTGGTAAGCATTGATTTCGCGGCGCGTTGCCGGATTCATGGAAATCCTTAAACATCGCATTTTTAGAGCTGTCTCCGATTGTTATAGCGCTGCACATCTGGGGGCCTTATATGGCCAACAGGTGTGTGGCATTCCACACTGATAACGCTGCCATTGTTGATATCATCAACCGGCAGACGTCAAAACATCGATTAGTCATGATTTTAGTGCGCGATTTGGTTTTAACTTCACTTAAATACAATATTTTATTTCGCGCACGGCATATTCCGGCCGTTCATAATTCTGGTGCCGACTACATTTCACGTTTTCAGGTAGAACAATTCAAGCAAATTTCGCTCGAAGCGGACTTCCTGCCAACGCCAGTTCCCGCGAACCTCCTGCCGCAGAGTTGGTGCCTACGCTAAGGGTCTTGTTAAATTCCGCCCTGTCATCGGGTTCTCGTAAGCTTTATCAGGGAGCATGGGCTTTTTTCAATGATTTTTATCAACAATTTTATCATTCTGTTTCTCTTGCTTTACCGCTAACCACACCTGTGTTAGCCCTTTTTGTTTCTTACCTTCACGCTCGGAAGCTAGCCCCGTCAACCATTAAATCTTATCTGTCGGCCATCGGATATGTGCACAAGTTGAAAGGTTTGCGTGATCCTACGAGGGCTTTTATCATTGACAAGTTGTTCACGGCCCTAGGTCGTCAAGGCTCAAGTGACATCCGGCTTCCAATCTCAAGCCCGGTTCTTCACGCGCTCGCAGGTTCACTTAACCACAACAACTCTTCGGCCTTTCACCGTACTATTTTTTCTACTATGTTTTTAATAGCATTTTACGGTTTTTTTAGGATCAGTGAGCTGGCGGCCAAGAATGCGAATTCTGGTGGTTCGGTAGTTCAGTTCAGTGACATGCGCTTTCTCACGCACGATGGAAACATTCACATGCTTAAAATAACTATCACAAAGTTTAAACACAACACGGACAAACGCCCATTTGTTATCCTAATCGAGCGGGAAGATTCTATGCCGTTTTGCCCAGTGCAGGCGATGTTTAATTACCCAAGCAGGCCAAGCACCCAAGCAGGCCATCTTTTTTGTCATAGCGACACAAGCCCAATAACAGTGGGTCAGTTCAATACCGAACTCCATCGTTGCTTGTCTTTTTGCGGGCTTGACACAAGCAGGTCATTGTGAATGGTGAAATGGTGAAAATTTGCTTATAAAAATGACGTCCGAGGGGGTCGAATAAAGTGATGCTCGTATCTCTAACACAAGGGCAGTGAAGAACCTATGTTTGGTATATTTTTCCATTACTCCACCAGACCTATCTATGATGTTAGTATAAACTTATTCTGTTGACCCCCTTCCGTTGACATTTTTAACATTTTGCCCGGTTTTCTCTGACAACCACTCTTAAAGACCTATCATGTCGGTGTTCAGACACCGAAATGAGAGCAGCATTAAAAGCTATTGAAATAATACTAATTTAAACACAAAATCAAACGTACAAACAGCCATGGCCCAGAATACCAGGCAGTTTAATTTTAAAGGCTGCACTGTTAATTTGCACTCTTAAACTCGACCTCGGCGGCCGGCAACAATGTTTTTCAACTTGGAATGTAACAATGTTGTGCAACAAGTTAAGCGAAAATGTTGCCTGTATTACTTGACCGTAAAGATCATGCCAAAACGTCGTGTGCTTTTAACAAATTGAAACCTAAGGAATTCCACAAACCTTTCTCGTTTGTTTGTTTGTTTGTTTTTAAATAGCTATACACGAAAAAGGGGAAATAACCGCAATATCAATAATAACGATAATGACAATGATTTCATCATATGACAGACCCCGAGCCCCAGAGGAATCTACAATCTCAATGTACAGAAGATATTTACCTGTGCAATTAACGCCGTTCCAGAAATATCCTGGCTCTCTGCAGATACATCGAAAGGATCCTTTGGTGTTATGGCATATGGAGCTGCCGTTACAGTTGTGTTTTCCTGTTGCACACTCGTTTACGTCTGCAAAACAGGAGGTGCTACTATTCAGTTTGCCTTTTTTTTCTAGTATAAATAGTTGTTTCCGCCCACAAAAGGAATACTGAGAAACAGTCTTCTCTAATCAATTCGATGATTATAGACGGAATTGATTCCAATCTGAGTCCTGTTACCACAACTAACTGCTGTTCTAAATATGGTTATAACTGTGTAATTGGACTGTGCTCGTCATATATACCTAGGTAATGGCACAACAATAACGCTATGCCGAGCGCGCTCTTCGATATTGATGTTGTTGTTTTAATTTTTTTTTCCTTCTAGCCGCGAAAAACTCTCGCTAGATCTTGTGTTTTAAAGTTCATAAAATCTGAAATTATCACAAATTTTTTTTAATTGTGATTAATTGTTACTCATAATTAAACAAACCGGACTCCAGCTATGTGGTCTCCTGACTCCAATCATTCCTATTTCCCTTATTAACTATATATAAGTATTATAATGATCATTCAAATTACTATTTCTGTTATTATAATTATTATTATTACTATTATTATTATTATCATTATTATTATCATCATTATTATTTCTTTTTTTTTGTGCACTGACTGATCTCATACCGTTGTACTTGCTAAGGGAGCGAGTCATGACCCATGAAAAAGGACCCTTAGATTTCGACTCCTTACTCTAGAACTGACTAATACTGTTCTTAAAATTCTTTCTGTTCATAGAAGAGTAGTTTTTGGGGGGCAATGAAATACTAATTCTTTTGTCCAAATTTCCAGCCACCTCTCTAAGTTCTTTGTCACACTTGCGAATGATCCTACAACAGTCTGTATCACCTACACAGTTCTCGTGTTCCACACCCTTGTAATGTCCCTTTTAAGCTCCTGATATTTTTTAACCTTTTCAACAATTCGCTTATCCCCTGCTACAGCAATATCAGGCCTACTCTGGGACCTTAACTCGCTGCAAGATTGTGCGAGCTAATGCAAGTTTAGGCGAGTTAAGGCGAGATAAGGAAAAATTGAGCTCCCCTATCAGTTGCGAGTTTGTGCGAGTTAAGGCGAGTTATAAAGAGAAAATGATCTATCTTATGTTGAGGTTATAAGGCTTAAAACTTATAATATGCTTTAGTAACATACATATAAAGATGCCTTGGAATCTTTGTATGTCTTATATATATAGTAGGCTCCATGTTGTCCAATTACGAAAAAACTAAACCAAAAATTTCAGATGAGCTCCAAAGTTGAATGAAGCCAAATCTTGTTAATATAAAATTTATTAACTGAAATATTTTCCTAATTGGACAAGCTTAAGTATGGATATGCTAGTGATATGGAGTCCTGTTCTTTATTAATTATATAGCAGTTAGACTCCAAACTAGACCATTTGGTGACTGTATCATAATAATAATCATTGTCATCATCATCATATATTATTTATTAAAGCTATATAATTATTTGGCAGAGTAATAAATTACCAGTAGTGACGAAAAAAAATGAAAACAAAACAATCATGAATTGATAAAAAAAAAATGTAGCTTTAGTATAAGCACTGGTAGGATATTTTATTTTATTTTATTTATTTTTTTTAAATCAATAACAATATGTTTTAATAGGCAGGTGAGCATAATAGGTATCACATGACATGTCATCAATTGTTATCACTAACTCCAGAATTGAAAAAAAAAAAGTTTTTGCAGTCTTTGTCAATGTTCTTCAAAGAACTAGTATAAAAATCCGGGGAAGCTGACGAATTACAACTCAGCTGAGGAAATTTTTATGCCACAATCAATTTTACTGAAATGAAATGAAATTTCTTTCTCCTTGAAAATTACGACTTATCTTTAAGTCTTCCATTTGATCCATTCTCTCCACTTCACTGATGGTTTCCCTTGGAGTCCAGCTCAGTTTTTTTGTTTTCACTGCCAGAAATGATTGCCTTTTCGTTTCCTCGGATAATCTATTCTAATTTCTTGCAAATGAAGGCTGATGCCTTTTCGCAAAGACAGCAGTTCCCATATTTTAGAAACTCCCTCCTTAAACTTGGACAATCCTGTGAGAGACACCTTGATCTCTACAAAAGAAAGGAGGATCAAGCTAACTTGATAGTAAACTCTTGATGATTCTTAGCCTGGCAAAACAGCAAAAAATAAATGACCATATTTTCTGTTCAGGCTTACTTGTTTTTTACAAAATGTCAGAAAGTGTTCATAGTTGTGCAGAGGACTATACCTTAATTAACTTGATTGACAAGAAAACACTCTCTACTATCGGCTTTGTCTTCCAAACTCTTAAGAGCTGTCACTGATGAATCTTTCCTGCTTCGCATTTTTACAAAATGATCACCGGCTCAGCCGTTTTGTGCGTGTTTTCATGTCACGTACGCCACATTGAAGCTTCCAACCTAAAACTTGCCAGTGGACTGGGATCAACAAGGCTTTTATAGAGTTAACGTTGCAAAGGTAAAAGGCTTTAGCTTAGCTTACCTGCATGTGATACATTTTGAAACTTCTCGATTTAACATCAAAAGTTTTGCACGAGTTCTCCTCCTTTTCTTCAGAAGTTTTCCCGTCCATCTTGAAAATTACCCAGAACGCATATCGAGGACAATAGGCTGAGCGAGAGGGCCCTGGGAAGACACGAGTTACCAGTATCTTCTGGGTAATTTCAAAGATGGCGAATGAAGTTGGCTATCAATGCAAAATATTGTACCTTTAGCAATCCTTTATTCAGTTAAGGGCTAAATGTAACAAGTCTTCTGAATCATGCCTGGGTTATGGTTGCCAGTCTGACTACAATGTAGGCCATACAGGATGTCACGTTGAACCAATGTACAGATCTTCTAGTACGAGGTAAATATTTATAAGAATTATTTATAAGAAATATGGACTGCAATCAGTATGTGGACTATTTAAAGGATTCTCGATTCTGGCTACATCCTAGCCTTTCATTGATGATTGTCAGCTGGAATCCTCATTAAGCTTCATCAGATTATAAGATGATACGTATGCTACTACTCTTCATATGTCATAAACAGCTTGCATGCATTATATTTGCAAAGTAATTAAACTTTCCATTACAAGATCTTACAAGTAAACTTTTTTTGTAAATCATTAACCAGCTTAAAACTAAACATTTGATATTCTGGTATTATGTTTTTGTATTTCACTCTAAATTCAAGATTTCTTATTTTAAGCCAAAAATTAGAAACAAATCATAGGAGAATATTTTTTCTTCAATTGAGAGATTCAAAGCAATCTTGAATTTAGAGTGTTCTTTGTCTTGCGTAGAAGTGTAAGACTAAAACTTAAACTATTTTTTGAAAACGTTTTCGTGGATTCACTGTTTGTGCTTTTAGTTAATGTCACTTACTTTGTGGACCAAAACACAAACAGTGAATGTGGGATTTGTTAGACCCTGTGACCCCATGCCTCTGGAATTTCTGCCATGCTTAGCATTGAAGCCTTTTCTTAGGCAGCGAGTTAGTGCATGTTCAGGCTGTTCCTGGTAGTTCCATTGACAGTCCAGTTGTGACTCCAAGGCATGACAATGTTAAGTAAGAAAAACCTCATCGAATCTTTAGTGGTGAAATACCCTTACCACAGAGGCTATTGGAAATTCCAGAAGGATGGGATTGGTCAAGTACATATTTTTTTAAAGGTAAAAACCCTGTTTTCCTTAAAAATCACTATTTTTTAAACTTTTGAAATTTGTATTCTTTGGCATCTTCCCTTTATGGAGTAATTGTGAAATTACACTGAGAGTAGGATGAGATATTAAAATTGGTATCCACTTGGCAGTGGCGAGATTGGGCGAGTTTGTGCGAGATAATGCGAGTTTAGGCGAGTTAAGGCGAGTTAAGGTCCCAGAGTAGGCCTAATATCGACAATGGCGCACTCTCTCTCCTGTTTGTTTACAACCACATGATCATGTGTATTGTAGCATCAATGACATGATCACATTGGATGTTCATTATCCCACAGTAGTTTAACTCCATCTTTTTCACTCACATTGTCAGGCATGTGTTCGTACCACTTCCAGATGATATTTCTCATATAACTTCCAACGAACTACTTTTGCAATATTGTGATGTCTCTGTTTATATTCCCTTTGTGCTAACTTTTCAGTTACACT